AGAGAAGGCCAATGGATAGTAGAACAACAAGTTTGAAGTAACTGACCTTGCTAGATACTACTCAATTCACATGACAGTAAATTGGTCAATCTATTTTTGGATTGCATCGACACAGATAGCAGATCCATGAAAGCAGTCGTTGTGACACACAGACACATACACTTGAGGGACAGGTAGATAGTCACATACGAATATGTTGGCTGCGAAAATAAGAACAGTAGACATTTAAACTCGTAAATTTCTTCCTCTAGTTTTTTCTCCTGGTCTTTATATTGATGGCATATGAAGATAAAGGCTAGATGAATGACAATTCGGAAGGAGAAAATTCGCAAGAGAAAAATTATATTGTATTAATCTGTATGCTATAATGGAAATAATTATTGTCAAACGTAATTTAAAGTTTAAAAGTTAATGACGGCGAGCGATAAATATACACGAATATTTATATTATTAGATAGAGAAATTTTTAGAAAAATACGAGAGGAGAAGCGATGATGAGATCAAGTAGACAAAAGAGTCGACCAGCTGACGCTAACAGATACAGTCACATTCCGCGTACATTATAATTCTCCGATCGATTCGAACGCGATACATTCTTCGGGATATAAAATCTTAGACAGTATCGATCACATGATATAGTATTTCTTGAAGAACATTTCTTGTTTTGTCTTGATTTTCAAGATAAAGAAATTTCGTTTTTTTTTGTCTTGATCATTTCTTGACATTGTATTTCTTGAATTCAAGTATTTCAAGTATTTCAAGAATCTTAAATTTTTTGAAATTCTTGATTTTTTAAGCAGGCTTTTAAGCAGGCCATTATGGCTCTTTGATTAGGTCGCGTCGCAAGCGTTCGACTTTTGTTTAGCGGTGAGCGACACGCGAAAAAATAAATGAAAATCATAACCTCGCAACTCGCGTATTTTTATTTGCTTTTTTGCTTTAGTTTTCGATAAGAATTCGAAGTGTCAATGACTCGAGCGCGTAACGAAAAATGATCGAACAATAGCTTCAAAAAGAAAAAAATGATATGAGTAGTGATAATGAAAATGATATCTGTCAGAAATACACCTTCGTAAAAAAATTAAAGATTTTTATGAAATTACAACGGATAAAAAACAAAATAAAAAACAAATAAAGTCTTTTCAAATTATTAAATTGTTTGTCAATTTAATTCGCGAGTATTAAAATAGATTTAATTGCATTTATAGTCCAGAAAAATAATTCGGCGCAGTTCTACATATGATATACCATATATGCCATACATACAAGTACATATATAGTATATATTAATAATTCAAGATTGAATTATTTTAAGCAATGAAGATCCAGCTTTGACCATAATAGGCATTTTTTAAATATTGATTGGATTTATATTTTTATTTATTATTATTTGTTTTATTATATTTATTTTATTTTCTT